TTAAACAAAAAATTAAATGACCGTATTTATAAACAAATGGAAATATAGAATGATAATTGGAAGTTAATTTATCCATTTACTACAAAGGACCACAATTTTATTACTAGCTGTCAAAAATTATTATTTTTATTTGTAAAATTTGAGAATTTAATCAATGTTTGTAAAAAAATAAATAGTACGTTCAATTATTTATATATTTATAATATAACAATACGACAATAACAAAAATAATAACTATCTGAAAAGTATATAGATCAGGACAAGAAAGATATTTCATTAAAGATTATATATTAAAGAATATCATTCAAAGTCTTATTAAATTCACTTAGAATAGAAATACGTTTCTTTTATTACATTATACCGACATTTTTATGTATCATATGAATTATATAAACTGGCAGATGATGATTAATAATGTTTTATAAATACATTATTTTTTCAAATAGTAAAACGAACGATTAAAATATTATAAGTTTTTGAATAATTCTTAACAATTTCAAGACATTTTTTCCAACCCACGGCTTTCAAGATTCAATATATTAAGTGTGTGATATTTAACATTTCCACACTCGTGCTGTTCTATATTAAATAAATAGTGAAAGTAACGGTTGAGCAGGAAAATGATAGATCAATCTCGTCGTGCAAATGGGACAAACCATAGCTACTGGACGTTCGTGAGGAGCTGCGCAAGAGGATGGAAAATCGCTCGGGAAAACTTGAGACGTCTGCAGATATAAGCCTTACCGAATTTGCCTAATCGCTTGAGCGCAATTTCTCTTTCTTTTTTATGAGCCGGATGGTAGCTCATGAGTCTCAGTGGTGCGATCTCATTTGAGAGATTCAAGATACCAGTTGGACAATTCGCTCTTCGACTTACAACTTTATTCTTTCCTTCCTCTTTTATTATCTGGTCGTTATTATTTATGTTGTTCTTTACGTCATGCATTCGCACTTTGCATACGTTTTTAAAAGTTTAAAAACTTTTTTTATGAATTATTCGACAATAATTTTAACGACATTGCTCTGCAGGGACGATTGCGTGAATCGAAGCTTCATTAAATGGCTGAAAAATCATTTATCCATCATTATTTCTATTACAAATACAAAAATATGCTGACTGCTGATATTGTGAGAAAAAATAAGTAAAAATAGAAAATAAAAATATTAATTATTAAATATTAATAATCTTTCGTGCGTCAATATTTATTATTTATAAACATAGTTATAACATTGAAATTAAATGGAAAGAGACTCGATAGTTTATATAAATATTGTTAAAAACATGAATAAGCAACTTTTGTTAAAATACATTTCTGCTGACCTAAAGCCAGTTATTATTGTCCTTCTATTTATTATCTATTGTTGTACAAATTTTGAAATAAACATTTCATGCTTTCATAACCTTATAAGATATAATGTTTCAATGAAAATTCCAAGTATAATCCGTAGAACTTACTACTCAATAACATTAATATTAATTACTTATTACTTTTTTATTAATATAGCTTGTATCATAATTAATTTCTTGAAATATAAATAATTTAATTTTTTTTAATTTCCTTCCGTTTATAAATAAAACTACATATAAATAAAATCAATTGATTTTTTACTCTTTATAAAATATTATTATTTTTTTTTTCTTTTTTTTTTTTAATATTTTTTTAATCATAATAGGCGATCAATGATATTAGCGAAAAGAGCACAAATGAAAATCAGCCTTAATGCAGTGTATTTCGTCTATCTAATTTAGTTCATCTTTTATTCAAATATAATATGGATACATTGATTATTTTGTCCCATTTTCAGTCATTGATCCATCAATCTCTTATTCTATTATATTTTTACATTCTGACCTTATATGTCATTCTAATTCTTTTTCCCTTAATTTGCCAACAAAATATTCGATAATTTTAATCTATCCAATATTCATATTTTAACATTTCAATTTATATGCCTTCTTCGTCTATATTTATTGGAAAATCAATTATGTTTATAAATCATTTATTGATTGTTAGAAAAACATTTAGTAACTGTTCTTTCAATCGATGTATCAGATTATTATTAACTAAAAAATAAATTGGTAAGAATATTGGTATAGATAATATAAGCAAAATTCATTATTTATTTAAAACAATTAAACGTAATAGGACTCTAAAATATCTTGACTTTTAATTTTTCATTTCGTTATTGCGAAATTTTATTAAAATCAATAGAATATTTGTCGAATCAGCTTTAACTAAATTATTGCAATATATTCACTAAAATCATACCAGAAATTTTAATTTTGCATAAATCAATATATTTTTATGCGACTCTATCACTTATTCTTTATTTTCTATTTACATTGTATATTCTTGATTGAACTTGACTAAATTCTAAATATTATAATAAGACAAAAATAAAAGTTTAGTCAATTATGTCAACGTAATGCATTAAAAGTAAAAGAAGAGTAAAAAAAAATTTATATTAGAAAATGGCATAAAAGATGTACAATTAAACAATTAAAAGCTACTTTTACCTAATCTAAAATACCCTAAAAATATTTCATATAAATTAATAAAAAATATTGAAATATTTGTTTACTTCGACGCATGAATTTTTTTTTTTTTTTTTGAGAGATTTTAAATAATACAAAAAGCACTTATAATGTACTATCCGATTTTCTAATTACAGTAAATAATAAAATTATCCAATGAAAATTAGATTTAGAAGAAGAAATTGAGCATGGAATATCTATAATATTTAATAACAGTAATAAAACTAAATATATGTAATCCTACTTTTATTCCGGGTTTTATTAATATACTATAATATACGATTAATTAACTTTTTAATTAAAAAAAATTACTGAATAATCACTATGTTCTACGATTAACATCTTTTTTTAAAATTATATATAAATTTTGTAAAATAATTTACAACTTCATTATTTTTAACAAGACTTTTAAGTTTAAAATATATTTCTTGTAATGTATTTTTAACTATAAAAAAAATTTATGTATACTCATCAACTTTTCTTTTGATTTTTCTCTCTTTGTGCTTTATATTTTCATAAAAATTATGTTTCAAATAAAATTACATTCTTAATTATCATTTTTATCAAAAAACTTAGTAAAGATAAAATTTTACTCGTCTATTTCTTAAGAAATATTCTTTATTTTTTGTTTTCAAACTCTAATCCTAATAAATGTTTCTTTCACAGTTGCTAGATAAATAAATTTGTTGAATTGCCATACTCTGTTCTCTGTTTTCCGGTCAATCTCAAAAAATTTCAGGATCCTGTTGCGATATGGGACTGACCAACAGCTCGAAAAATCGGTTGATTCATCCAATATCCACTCCGCCTATTTTATGTTTCGTGCTTTCCTCTCGTTTCTAGATTTTTCTCTTTTGGCATAAAGTAACGAATTGATCTTTAAATCACTTTACTTTTACAATGACACACACACACACACACACACACAGACAGACAGATATATATATTTTTACATATATTCACGAATGACCTAACTGTATATATATATATATATATATATATATATATATATATATTATAAAAATTGTCAAAAAAAATATATGATCAAGGTATCTTTAATTTGTAATACATTTTTTTTCTTTTTTGCTCCTATATCTTCTTGCCTGACATTGAAAACTTTCGACATGATAATATTAATCAATAATAATAGACTGTTTACAAGAAAATAATCATAATCATTGTTTTTTCAAAATGATAATAACACTACGTTTATATGGAATTTTGATTAAAATTATATGTATTTTGTTATATTCCGAAAGGCAAAAGCCATATTATTAAATAGTAGTTTCTCATATATATGAAGTATATTTAATTTTTTGTTCGTAGCAAGAGCAGGTAACTTTAATAACCAAATACTCATAAAAACACATATACAGTTTCCTTTAAGGATGCTCAAGCTAAGACACATAATACAGGATCAATGAAATGTGACCTAACTTTGCGCGAATTACAAATTTTATGTTCTTTTATTTGAGCTACGTCATATGCTATCGATTGTGCTATCCATAATAAATTCCTTGACGTAAAAAAATTACCAATACTTTTCTTCACCTATTTTTTTAACTTTTTTTGCCGCATTGCCTTAGTACCAACTTCCATCATCGACCAACAATGAATTCGCCAAATAAATTGAACATATGAAGGAATTGAAGCATCGATTGTGTATTTCATTCGAAATTGCATCTCAGCAGAATTTCTATGTCGATAATTATCGATAATTATTAATTATAGATTATCAAAAATTAAAAATTATTTATCATAAAATTATACACAAATTATAGTATACAAATTTACATAATAATCATTAAAGTTATAACCCATGAAATCATTGTTTGCTATTGAATATCTCATAACTACAAAGTGCAAAATAATAGATAATACTTAGATACTATTTTGGATAAAAATACATAAAAAAAAAAAAAAAAAAAAAAACGAATATATTTTGCTGATTCTATAATAATTTGTTTTTTTTTATTAACAATGATGTTTTTTAAAATTTACTATAATTTTATTTGGAAAAATTTTATATTAACATTTGGCCTATAATATGCAAATCCAATAATTAATTATACAATGTAGCGTTAGAATGAAATTCTACAAAAGCCAATTGAATAAAGTTGAAAAAAATATCGAATGCCAATAGCTTTAGAATGAAATTATTAAAAATGACTATATACAATATATCATTATTATCATTATCGTTATCATTATTATTATTATTATCATTATTATTATTATTATCAT